GAGTGATTCTAGTGTGATTGCATCGTGAGGTTGCATCGAGTGGCCCTAGGTGATCGAGTTGCAAGCTGGTGGTGCTTTTTACTCTTGGAGGTTGCCACCTCCTAGATGGCTTGGTGGTGGTCTCCGTCGAAGCCCACAAGAAGCTTGTGCGGTGCTCCGGAGAAGAGCTTTGTGAGGGGCATTGTGCTCGTCCCGTAGGAACCGTGAAGAGCAACTCTAGTTGAGCATGTCATTGAGCTACCCTCACTTTCAGGATAGGTTCTTGCGGTGCCTGACGTGCAGGCTTGGCGGGTGATGCCAATTAGCTGCCGAACCACCAAGTGAGCGATCGACACAACGGGGACATAGCGTGTTGGCAAGCACGTGAACCTCGGGAGAAAATCACCGTGTCAACATTGTTCTTCCCATTGGTTTGCAATCCCCTTACACAAGCTTGTGATTACTTTCATATACATTATGCTTGTGTAGTTGCTCTTGTAATTAGTTAGTTTGTGTAGCTCATTAGTTACCTTCTTGCTTGTGTAGCATAGAAGTAGCTCCCTTGTGTGGCTAATTTGGTTTATGTAACCTTGTTAGTCACATTGCTTAGTTTGTGTAGCTAAGTATTTGCGCTCTCTAATTTGGCATTGGTTGCCTTGTTATTGAGTATTGCTAGTGAGCTTAGTTGGCTTTGTGCTTTTGCTTACTAGCATGTGTAGGAGTTCCCCCGTTACTTGAAATACTAGTGGTATATGTTTGTGTGACCTTGCTCCTAGAATTGGATAGGTGAGCTCTAGCTAGCCTGGCACCTTTGTTGCCTAAGTAGGATCTTTATAAGGTGCTTATAAACTTTGATAGAGGGGTGTAGTCTTGGCTAGACCGAATTGTTTTAATTCTGCATTTATTTCGGTTAGCCGATGCGATTAAATTTAGTAACGACTATTCACCCCCCTCTAGTCGCCATCTCGACCTTACAGCCGCTCCTCCATCGGAGTCACGCATGGCTTGCACTCAGCCATGCCGCTCTGCTCCAATAGTTTTGAGGCATACGCGCTCTGACTGAGTGTGAGTGCCTCCTTCCCTTATCTCACCTCGATGCCGAGGTAGTAGGAGAGCATGCCGAGATTGCTCATTTGGAAACGAGCCGCCATCTCGCACTTGAAGCTGTCGATGTCCTCTGCACACGTGCCGATGACGATCAAGTTGTCCACATACACGCCGACGATGAGCTCCTCCTTCCCCCGTCACCGCATGTAGAGTGCGTGCTTGGTTGCGCACCTCGTGAACCCAAGCTCGCCTAGTGTGGTGTCAAGCTTGGCGTTCGACGCTCGTGGGGCTTGCCGTAGCCCGTAGAGCACCTTGCGCAGTCTGAGCACCCTGTGCTCCGCTTCCTTGACGGTGAAACCTAGAGGTTGCCTGACGAAGACCGTCTCCACTAGCTCACCATTGAGGAAGGTCGATTTTACATCCAGGTGATGGGTGCGCCAGTCCTTTGCTGCTACCAAAGCTAGAAGTAGCCGGACAGACTCCATCACGCTACCGGCGCAAAGACTTCCTCGAAGTCGATGTCCTCGTGCTGGACAAAACCTCAGGCGACGAGGTGTGCCTTGTGCTTGACAATGGCGCCGTGCTCGTCCCACTTGACCTTGTATACCCACTTCAGGCCGATCGGATGGTATCCTAGAGGTGGATCGACAAGCTCCCAAGTCTCATTTTCCTCGATCTCCTTCATCTCCTCCAGCATCGCCCGTCACTAGTTTGCATCGCGCTCGGCTAGCGCGAATGTGGGTGGTTCCTCTACACTGATGAGAAGCAGCTCTGGGTCATTGAGCAGCTAACCCGCCAGGCCTAAGGGCCCCATTCCCCTAATGATGTCATCTAGCCTACAAAACCGCACCTCCTCATAGTTGTGGAAGGCATCCACGAGCTCAGAGATGTCGCTTGGAGGTGAGGCAAACTCGATCAGCATCGATGAAGTTCCCTGTTCCGCCGGAGTGGTCTGCACGTCACCTGGAGTGCTCGACACCTTGGCTATAGTGGTCGGCACTACCCCTGGACCGCTTGTCACCACTCCTGGAGTGTTCAACACCACTGCAGGAGTGCTCAGCCCTTGTCTTGGAGTGGTCGGCACCACTGCAAGACTTCTCGGCTCTGCTATGGGAGTGTTCGGCACTCGTCCTAGAGTGGTCGACACCACTGCAGGACCTCTCGGCATCACTGCTGGAGTGCTCGGCACCCATCCCGGAGTGCTCGGCTCTGTTGCTAGAGTGGTCGGCTCCTCCTCTCTAGCATCTCCACCACCGTGGATGACCAAGTGCTCGACGACAAAGGTGCTGATGAAGCTGCCAGCTTCCCCCATGCCCGGACTGTTCCAGTCCTTGGCCACCTTCTCATCGAACTCGACATCGCGCAAGACAAGCACCTTGCCTTCCCGTGGGTCATAGAGCCGGTACGCCTTGGTACCTTCCACGTAGCCCAGGAGCACCATCGGTGTGCTCCTATCCTCCAGCTTGGTGAGGACCGGCTTTGTCTTCCTAACATGGCCGATGCAGCCTAATGTCTAGAGGAAGGACACACTCGGCTTGCATCCATACCGAGCATCGAACGACGTCTTTCCCTTTAGGGCCTTGGTGGGCACGTGGTTGAGGATAAACACTGCCATGGTCACCGCCTCACCCTAGAACCCTGTCGGCATGCTCTTGGCCTTCATCATGGATCGAGCCATGCTGACCATAGTCTGGTTCCACCGCTCCACCATGCCATTCTGCTATGGCTAGTATAGCACGGTGTGGTGTGGCACCACACCCTGATCCGCGTAGTACGTAGCGAACTCTACCGAAGTGAATTCGCCACCGCGATCAGTCCTCAGCACACGCAGCTTCTTGCCCATCTCCACCTCCGCACGCGCCTTGAACTTCTTGATTGTCGTCGCCGCCTGGTCTTTGCTCGTCAGGAGTTGTAGCCACATATAGCGACTGCAATCATCCAGGAGCAGAAGGAAGTATCACTAACCACCATTTGTGATTGGCGTGATTGGCCCACAGAGATCACCATGGACGAGCTCAAGAGCGTCCACCGCATGATACTTGACCACCTTTGGGAACGGCAGCCTCCTCTGCTTCCCAGCCATGCAGTTGTCACATAGCTCGCCTCAATGCTTGATGTGGGGCAACCCTCATACCATCTTCTCTAGCCAACCGAGTGCATCGAAGCTAAGATGGCCGAACCGGGCATGCCACAGCCATGGCTCCTTGGTGTGCCATGCTGCCAGGCACATCGGCTGCTCTACCTTCAAGTCGAGCAGGTACAGCCAGTTCTAGGACCTCTTCACCTTAGCAAGAGGGTGCTGCTCCTGGTCCCTGATCCTGAGGATGTCGTCCTTGATCAGTACCTCACTACCACGCTCATCCAGCTGACCAATGTTGATGATGCTTGAACGCAGCTATGGGATGTAATACACATCCGTTAGTGCGCGGTGCTCATCATTCTGGCACCTGAAGATGATGGTGTCGCGCCCTCGGATGGCCACCCTTGAGCCATCACTAAACTTTACTGTGCCGGTCATGTCGTCGTCGAGCTCGGAGAAAGCACCAGATGAGCCCATCTTTCCACAGGACCGACAGGCGTTGAGGTCAACCTTCGCCAGATGAGCCTTAGACTTCTTCTCCTGCTTACAATTTGGGCACTCCTTTGCCCAATGGCCCGTCTTTCCATAGCACCAATAGGCGTTGAGGTCGACCTTAAGAAGCTTTGCCGCGGCGCTTGCCATCACCACCATGGCTGGAGGAGGCTTCCCCGGAGTTCCTCCAGATAGCCCACTCTTGCTCTGTCAGCAGTAGCTTGCCGCTGTCCGTCGTTGCTATCACCTGCTCTAGGCGCTCATCCACCACCCGTAGCCGACCAGTCACATCCTCAATGGTGAGGGTGGACAAATCCAGCATCGTCTCTATGGAGAAAGCGATCTGTATGTACTTCATCGGTACGGAGTGGAGGTACTTGGAGACCACCTCTTCGTCGATGGTGACGCCATGGCTCCTCAGCTTGCTAATGAACATCTGCAGGCGGAGGGAGAAGTCCTCAATCGATTCACCATCCTTGAACTTGAGGTTGGCATACTCCTGCTTCAGCAGCTGGGTCGTCGCCTTCTTTGCACGGTCGAAACCGACGTGCATCGCCGCAATAGCCTCCCACGCCTCCTTAGCAGAGCTTTTCAACCCCAACGGCTCCCTGTACTCTGCTGGTATAGCAATGAGGATAGCCTCCAATGCTGACATGTCATCTTATTCGTTGTTGGTGCCCTTGTCAATAGCATTCCAGAGCCGTCGGGCTCTGAGCTTGACCTTCATGGTCACCGACCACTCACCATAGTTGGTGTGAGTCAACATCGGCCAACTGGTGCTACTGACCTCCCACACCATGCACACAACAACCTCCTATCATGGCTGGGCAGCCATAGCAGCACCGCTGCTATCGCCCATACCCAAACCGTCCGTCATCTCCAGCGGTTAGTCTGGCGATGGCGCTTGTACGACTCCGATACCACTTGTTAGCCCCTAGATCTCCGACATGACCACACACTATGGCTATCGATGCTGACCATGCACTATCGATGCCGACCACACACTATCGATACCGACCACACACTATGGCTAGAGGTTGATGAAGGGAGGGAGAACAGAGCACACACAAACATAGCACAAGCACCAGCGCTGGTCGGAGCTCTGCAGAGGAGATGGCAAAACCTGAACTCGCTCTTTTTACTGAGTTGTAGTGGCAAACTATATATATAAGTCTACCCATCTAATTCTAGTACACAGACATGTCAAGCTACTATGCTGCTACAGTGACTAGATGTGACAGTTGGACTGCCATGCTGTGGCTACAGTGCGGCAGGAGAGCTATTCTACGCCTGCCTCTGCAGCTGCTACAGTAGGACAGCAGGGAGCCCTTTTTGGTGCTGCCTATCCCTGTCGTGCGTTCACACAAGGGGAGCAGCAGATTACTTAACAGCCCCCGCATCCATGTTCAGCAGCCTCGCCTCTCGGCTGCTAGGCTTCGCCTACTCGCTCGATGACTACTACGGCCTGTCGGCGGCCACCTTTGATGACCCGGGGGCATCAGGGTACACGAACGTCACCGGCTCCTGCTGCGGGGGCAGGAGGCTCGGCGCCATGGCGGACTGCCTGTCCAACGCCACGGTGTGCAGCAACCGCGACCAGCACACATTCTAGGACTAGGTGCACCCTTGCCAGCGGGCTGGGTGTGGTAGAACTGCCTAATCTAATGCCTCCCAGGAGTGCTCATCTTCTATTAGACACTAAGCACTTAAGGGAGCAGACTAAATGACACTGTCCCATTGGGCACACCCCAGGCGAGACCCAGAAAATCCACATTTTTCCATCAGGATCACAAATGAGAGAATAAGCTTACAACATTCTTAAACCATTTCTTACATCACTTGTAATGCAACATCAGAGTATAATATTTATTGTTATAATAGCGGAATGTAATCATATTATCAGAGTTATGAACAATTTAATTTAACAGCGGAATATAAACATGTGATCAGAATTACAGCGGAAATAATTATCTATTCATGACATGATGAATCATTGATATGTAAACTAGGACAACAGATTATAAACTTTCATTTATAAAAACATTTAGTGAGAGTTATAAATAAAGACTATGATCACAGCGTAAGGAAATCCTCTCTGAGCCCACCTGGAGGAAACCACACACAAAGGTCAGCTTTAGCATCCACTTGTCACCTGCAACAGGGGGAAATAAAACCCTGAGTACTCAATTGTACTCAACAAGACTTACCCAACAGGAGGAAAGAAAAGACTCCAAGGACATGCAAGGCTATCTTGCTTGTGGATTTATTTCATCTGCAGGAGCATTACTATAAGTGCGTCCTTATATTCGATTTTTATTAGCAGTGCATTAGTTCATTAACTAACCATTCTATGTAAGCACCTATGCTACTTTCAAGCATGTGATAAGTAATTAGATTTCCTTTTTCCATTCCATCTTTCATCTTCCAGTTCTTACTATGGTGCTAGAGTTAAGACAAGTTATACCGGAATGCCGGCGATTCACGAATCAATGCCCCCAGCTGGGTACCCCGAAAATACACGCCCCACTTGTACCCAAGGCATAAGCAGGACCAACCCACTACCCTCCTGTCCTGGGTGTCCAGGTCCCCATCCAAGCTAGGACTCCAAGCCCCTGCTCCTGAGTCCCAGACTCAGTGCGGTGCAAGGACCTCCAATACCCAAAAACCACCCTGACAGTCGGTCCGAAAAGAGACGGATCCACGACAAGAGAGTAACAAGTCTTCCAAGCGTCCATACCCAAGTATGTGCTCGGGATAATAAGTCTGTGACTTGCCTAGTGTCTTATGCAACGGCCGGCGCTTAACCGACACAGACAGGGAAAGCAGTGTAACCAAGCTATGCCCCGCGTCCACGGCGACACAACCTCTTACACCCACCAATACCCAAACCATATCCCTGCCCGATCACCATTTTTCCTTTCCATCATTTATATTTTCCAGGTGATAATAATACAATAATATATTTCCTATCTCTTACGATTGACAAGCAATCACTCGACTTCTATCGGAGTCCTGTAGCATAACAATCTACATGATCCTGTTATACTAGTAAGACTCATAAGATAAAGATATGTATATGCAAGTGGGTTTTAATCAACTCCTTAAAACTTAATGCACAAATATAATTTAAACTACAGAAATGTAGGGGTTATGCACCAGGGCTTGCCTGGGTAAAATGTAACCAAAAGTTAGTATTTGCATCTTTAGATTATCCACCATCATCTGAATAGAAAGCCTATTGCATCATCTTATGGAGAGAACATCATTACACCATCTTCAGATTCCCACTCATCCTTCACTCGACCCGTTAATCCATCATTGTACCTATATGATATGCAATGCGATGCAATGCAAAGACATAATTAATCGACTGCAACCGTGACTCGTAAAATACGATTTACACCACTCAAGCTAACGAGCTAGTTCTAACAACGACCGTACTTTGGCCACGTATCCACATCATCGATTAAGGTGTTATCTCCCAACAAATGTTTTAGTTATACAAACCCAAGTTGTTTCTTTATTTCATTCTATAGATTTAATCATTATTCTAAATAGGGCATCATTATCTATCTAGTAAACTAATTATTCTGGACCTACAAAAATTATAGTGAGCAACTAATAATATTAGTAATTTATGATAAAATTTTTAGAGCTAACACTATCACCGATTTATCACGGAAATTCCTACAAGTTATATTTTAACAATATTAAACATTTTAAAATAATTAGAGCAACCCTGGAAACATTTTAAAACTAGATGAACCAATTATGCTAATAGATAGATCATGATTTCAGAAGCCTAACAAAATTGGTTTCACAATTTTTAGACAACCACACAATTTTATATTGATTTTACAAGTTTATTTCCTAAACTAAATTAGCTAAATGTTTTCTAGAACATAAAGGACGACGGTGGCCAAGCGGCCTAGCAGCTCCCATGGCCCGCAGATGCGCGCGCGGCCCAGTGACGGCGGGATGGCGCGGATGGCCTATGCGGACATAGCTGCGCGCACAGTGGCTGGTCCAGCGAGACGCGGCAGCCTAGGCGCGCAAGCAGTGGCCCAGCAGGCGGCACCAGTCCGGCCCAGGCGGGGCGGCACAAGGCCGGCCCAGCGCGCGTCGCGAGTGGCCCAACCAGCCGACCCATGCGCGGCCTGCCCAAACCGGCCTGGCGATTTTTTTTCAAAAACGACCGTGCGTTTTCTCTATTCAACCCTAGGTACAGAGTACTATTTAAATGAGTCACGTATTTCACACCTAGGACCCTATACTCATTCCTATTCACACTTCCTCACCTTCACTTTCTTCCCAACGCAGAGCACGGAACAAAGGAAGCAAACCGCCGCCCCGTGCGGCGGTGGTACTATCATGGGGCGGCGTGGGGAGGTGCGCCACGACGACGACGGGACGACCGGTTCCAGCGCGGGTCCCTCCGTGACCCCAAGGCAGCCGCGGCACGGCCAGAGGCGGTGCCAGTCGTCGGTACCACACACAGCGGCGGCCGGCGTGGGAGCGGAGAGGCACGCGAGGAGCGGCATGGTCAACCGCGACCGCAGAGGCGAGCAGCTATGGCTGGCCGATAGCCAGGCAGTGTGCCCAGCGCGGACAACGGCGGAGGAGATGCCGTGGAGCAGCTGGTCCAGTGCGAGGCCGAGGGCTCGGACACGCCCGCAAGGAGCTGGGCGACAGCGCAGCAGGCGCAACTGAAGGCGGCGAGGTGCTGTGGCGAGGTCGTCAGCGCGGTCGCAACTCTGGGAGGCGAGGTGTGTCCATGGGGTCACGGAGTTGTGGTGGCACGGTCGTGGCATGGGTGAGGTCCGGGCATGACATCGTGGTGGACAGGGTCGAGGTCAATGGCGGTGTGGCCTTGTGCGTCTGTGTGGACACCAGCGCGGTGGAGACGATGGAGGACGCATTGGGGTGCTTGATGCAGGGGAGGGTGAGGTCGTCGTGCTCTAGCGAGCCGTCGGTGTCGAGGAAGGGCAGAGCCTTCGGCGGACACGAGCGGTAGGAGGTGCGACAGAGGGCAGCGTGGTCATCGCGGCTCAGCTCGGTGTCGAGGTATAGGGCGAGGCCAAGGGCGTTGGTGCTCATCGAGGCCAAGGCGGGGTCGAGGCTTGGCGCAACCGTGGCCTAGTGGTGGCGCTGTGGGACAGCGCCCGCGGCGAGCAGCAGGCCACGTCGGGGTGCTTGGTGGCGAAGCTCGGCGCTGGCGGCTCATGGTCGGAGCAGAGGAGAGGTGCACGGCAAGAGAGGGGGAGCGGACGGAGGCAAGGAAGAGTAGTACACGACAACAGCAATAGAAAAGGAAGAAAGCAGCTCGCGGGTTCGGCCAACTTCCATTACGCATGGCAGCGCAGAGATAATGAAGAGGCAGACAAATAGAGGCAGCAGCAGCAGAGACAAGCAAGGCAGGCAAGACAAGCAAGGTCAAAGGTCAAAGAGCAGAGAGCACGCCAAGAGGCACAGGGTGAAGCGATGAAACTAGCAGTGAGGAAGGGAAAACAAGCAAAGCAGTACACGGCAGCAGCAGCCCGGCCAACTCATCCATCAACACGCGGGTCGTACAGGCGAGGTACGCGAGGCGAGTGGCCAGCGGCACTCTTGTTATTATTTCAGCTCTCAAATCTTCATTTAACAAGCTGACTATTTATAGTTTCAAACACGGCTAAAACACTAAAGTTTGTTACTCGATATTTTAAATGCAACCAAAATCATGCTTCGAATTTTACTTAAGTACTATATACCAATCATATCGTATTTTTATTTATAAAAATTGTTTTTCATGCTTAATCAATGAAACAAGCCGTTCACTATTTATTTGCTAGAACCGTTATCGGACATTCCTAATATTTCTACGCACTAAGTAATTTAACTTGGGCGTTTATTTGAGCCGACAAAACCGCCGGATTCGCTTATCACTTCAAGTATGTTTTAAATCAAAAATCCGATAAACTCGCTTCGAAAATTTTTCTTAGGCCTAAATCACGGTGCTAAGTAAGCTCACTGGGGGCGATGCTGGCCGCCCAGAACTTCTATGACAGCCGCCCGGGACGATACACGGCGCCCATCAAACTTCAAGCAGCTGGCTTACACCAGTTTATGATGACCTTCATCTAGGTAGTACAAACCAACGATCGAGTAGATATACAGGGCCACTTTACACGCATATATACTGTTATTATACCTCAAAGTGTATAGCAGTGTATACATTGTTGACGACAACGGCTGGCGAATTAGTCAATACAGTAATAATAGTCACACATTTTTTTTAGGGAACTGGAGGGGCCGTGCCCCCTACACAGAAAATTTTATTAAGACAAAAACAGGTTCTAATTACAGACAAAAAAACAAAGCAAGAACAAAAATGATTACAAAAGAGGATGAGGGCCACCTAGGGAACCCAAAACGAAACAAAGAAAGTAAGGAAGGTAAAGATTACTAGGGGGAACAAGGTTGTGACTCCATAATTCAAAACTTGGGAGTAGGCTTGGTTTAACTCTGAAGAGAACCGGTCTCAATTCTTTACGCAAAGTTACTTTGCAGCTTTGTATACTTGAAGATTAAGTCAGTTCTGGCTGTCCAGATGGCCAAGCACATTAGGATTAT